GCCGAGGGGTAGATGGGGTCCAGCGGCCCGTGTGGAGGCTCCTGTAAGAACCTCCTCTAAAGTCCATCCGGCCAGGGCCCCGGCCCCTCCGCCAGGAGCTCCTCCACGGCACCGAGTGTCTGCAGGTACGTGTTTATTTGTACCGTGACGATCCCCTTTCCTTCACTAGAAACGGTCAGTGCCCGTGGAGGACACCTCTTCACCCTCGATTTCCCTCGTTTCCTTCGCTCCTCCCAGAAAGCACCGGAGGCTTCCCCTGCACACACAGCCCGCCTTCAGGCTGCGACCCTCCGCCGCCTGCAGCTGCTGCGGCCATGGGTGCAGGTGGCAACGGGCGTGAGAGAAGTGGCCCCTGCACCTCCTGCCACACCCTTCCCTGCCAGGGTCCAGGGAAGCGCTCGCTCTCCTTCCTGCCTGTCTCTGCTTGCAGGCCGCTCCTCCTCCTTCTCCCTGGGGACACAGCTGCTGGAGAGAATGCCCTTTTGGGACTAGAGACTTTTCTTAGGCCTTTTTCATGATTTTTTTGGGGGGTCAGGGGGAGTTGAAGGGCGGGGGGCAAGAGTGGCTGTAAGGATCTACCTGTGGGGGGTGGCTACAGCGTTTGGACAGGTTCAAGCCTCGCACTGATGAGAGGGCACAGTCCTCTCGTGGCCACGTGCAAGTCCCAGCACAGTGATAGCCAGCAGCTGTGGTGTGAGCGTGCCCCTGTGGTGCGAACACGTGGCCCCCGTGCCTGAGTGATATCGACCACAGGTAAACAAAGCCGGATCAGGTGCAAGTCATTGAGGAGGATGGAAACCCAGGAGAATGCTGCAAACATCCTGACCACGCCCTTAGTCTGCTGCCTGGCATCGGCTATAAAATAAAGACCCGGCTGGGAGTTCGTGGTGCTGCTGGGTCCTCATCCGGGAGCAGCATTCTACCGAGTCCCAGCGTTCCTTCTCCTGTCTCTTTTCTAACCCGTTACCGCCCCCTCTCAGCGTCCTGAGCCTGGCCTGAGCCTGGCTGAACAGGCGGGCACAGAAGGCGCCAGCTCCCCACACCTATCTTTCTTTGGCTTTTTCAAAAACGAAAGAGACAGGGCTCTGAGTAAATGCTACCAGTGGAATGTGAGTGCCATGCGGCACAGTGGAGGGTCATGCCCGAACAGGAAGTCCTCTGCTTCCTCTTGCCCCACCCCACCCACCACTCGGGGACAGGGACTTGGCCGTGGTGGTGGTGGTGGTGGTGGTGGTGGGCACGCCCTGCCCCCGGGCGTCATCCTACAGGATATGAAGCAAGAAGAGCCCACGTCTGGCCCTCGCTCGTGTGGAAGGAGGCCCCAGCCTGCCTGGACGGTGTACGGGCGTGGACTTGTGTGTGCGAGAGAAGCAGCTTCCATCCCGGTGAAGCTGTCACCATTTGGTCTCTGCTAACAGCAGCCCAGTCAGCACCGGAACACATCGCTCATAAATCACAACTGTGTGTTGAATGAATATGATTGTAAGTAGAAGAGTTACTATGTAAGTAAACTAATAATAGATATTTTCCCGTTCCCCTGAGCTTTGAGCATAGAGCATTTGTAGTGCATTGGGAGACAGCCAAACAAAGCTCCCCCTGCAGGGAAGTTCCCCTGCTTTGTCCTGGAGATCGGCCCGCACAGCGCTCAGGCCCTGCCTCGGAGGGGAAGCCAGGCCGCGCTCAGCTGGCTGCTGTGCTGAGTCCATCTGCACGCCCCACACCTTTGCCGGGAAAAGACGATACAAGCTTCGCACTGAGCGTCACAGCATCTTCTCAGGCAAACACCGGCCCCAGAGGAGGGTGGTGGTTGTGCTGCGGGCGGTGGGCGCTGCGTGCTGTGATGGGGGTAGCGCAGCCACCACTGCAAGGAACTCTGGGAACGACTTGCTGCTGAAGAGCAAAGCTTGACACCGGGCTTGAAAACATTTGCATCTGCACGTGTTATCGTGTTGTAAATAAGTGAGTGTCTTCCTACTTGAACTTGGACATTAAATAAGGATGCCTGCTTGCACAGCCCCGCTGATCAGATGTGCTTACGGTCAGGTTCCTGTGCTGCCATCACCGGAGCACTGGACCCAGTGAATCCACAGGAGACGCCCAGAGCTTCCCCCGCCCCCGGGAGAGGCACCAGAGCCCCCCTCCTCATACCCCCCCCCCCAAAAGAGGCGCCCAGAGCTCTGGGGGTGAGGTGCCCAGAGCTTCCCAGGGAGAAGCACCCAGAGCGGCGCCCAGGGCTTCTGGAAAGGCCTGTGTGTGTGTGTGTGTGTGCGCGTGCGTGTGTGCGTGCGTGTGTGCGTGTGTGCTGGAAGAGCACTGCAATGTGAGTCAGGCGGCCACGTGCTGGGAGTGAGGAGCGGAAGGCAAGCCCTAACAGGAGGATGGTGCGGGAGCAGCTTTAGGAACAGGACTTGTCATCAGGCGGGACACAGGCCTGTTATCTTCAGAATAAAGAGAAACATCAAGAAGAGACGGCATTTTGCCTTGATAATGACAAAAGGTCGGTACTACTGAAAACAGAAACGTTGACATGTAAACACTGAAAATGAGAAAATACTATTTCCTACATCACTGACGTTGTTGTGTATGTACGGGATTGTCTATCTTTCTTTGATCAAGACCTTATTGCTGTTGGTGGTGTTTGCCTTGGCGTAGTAAGCACAGGGGCTGTGTCTTGCTGATCCTGAATTCCCAGAACACTGTGTGACAGCTTATTAGCTTCACTTAAAAAGGACGTGTTGATTAAAGGAATAAGTAAATGGCTGAATAATGTTTGCGTCCAATAGTTATGATTTCCACTACATCAAGTGAGACAATTACCCATCATGTTTTGAAGATCCCAGTAAAAAAAACACATTTTAAACAAAGATTTTCTTTTTAAAATATTAAAACAGGATAATTTCTGTCAAATATGTTGCTTATAAAGAAGGCTGCTTCATAGTCAAGTTTTTTTTTCTTTTTGAGTCTTTTAAGCACACATTACATTTGGCAATACTGAAATATTTGATTTTCCAGAACTATGACTTTAGTGTAAAGCCCTTTAAAAAATAAACATGATTAAGAACATGAGTTTAGAATAACAGAGAAAGAATCTGACCAATATTTTTTATGTGGAAAAATATAACATTGAAAAATCACTAAGATTATAAAACCATGAGCTTGAACGGTGATGGGTTTTGGTGTTTGCTGATCAGTAATCATCTTGGCTCCCATGACCACCTCGTCACATGAAATACACACACAGGACTGAAGCTAGAACTAGCCGAGTTTTTGTCCATTTTCAATGAATTTTAGCTATTGTAAATCCACTGACCCACGTTCCAATGAATTCCATCTGTGTAGCAACGTGGAAATCTGACTTGGGGGGCCTATGGGTGTTCTGTTATTCATGTTTTCATTAAGAATGTGGTTTCAGAATAGATATTAGTTTTGCAACATTTATACAAAACCGATACTGTGATACTGGAAAGTAATACCATTCACTTAACGAGTTGCTATGCAATAAGTCAGATCCTCCCAGAGTGTAAATTATACAATTTGAAAGCCACATCTATTATTTAATATCTCACTCCCAGACAGGTGCTTGCTCAGTGGTAACCTAATTTAAAGCCGTTCACATAAGAAGGCTTAGGAAACGCATACACACAACGTATTACACATGTAGCTAAATAATTTGTTCCTTTCCCCCCTTCAACAGTATTAAAACTATTTCAACTACCTCTAATAAAAATGAGACATGAATTGTATTAACAGCCAGAGATACTTGAACTGAAGCTTGAATTTTTAAAATTTTTGTCATTTAAAAGGTATCTTGAAATAAACATATTCAGTTGCCCTTCAATATTCTAATAGGCTGGTAAGCATTTTGTAAGAAAGAGTGTTGTCAGAATAAAATGCTAGGATAATTCTGACATTTCCTAGGTTGAATTGAAATTTCTGATCATGGGTTATTTAATAAGTTTGATTTCAGCTCAAATTTAAGAGAATTTAAGATTTCTAAGAACTAATAATAATGAGAAAAAAAGCTAATAAAAGATTTCTAAGAACTCATGGGCTTGCAATAAAACTTTTGCCTAGTGGGGCTACTTTAGAGAACAGTACATCACAGGGGGTCTTGTCCCTTCCTAAACAGCTTAGGAATAATTTGGGTGTCTTACGTTATTAGGATGTGCTAATCAATGCACACAATATACCACTTGCTCAGGACCCTTTCCAATAGCCTAGCCTGGACCTCCACACTGTTGGGTACCATCTGCTACTGGCCCAGTAATTGCCCTTCTGGGCAAAGACCACCCAGGACCTGGGCTCAGAATCCACAGGCTAGCCGGCCCGCCACTGTGACCCGGTGTGGGCAGGACCGGAGTGGGCGCATTCGGTTCGGGAGGGTCACTTACGACTGAGTTTTTCATCATGGCTTTGACTGTGAAGCCCTCAGAGACCAGGGAGTGAGGCTGGTGCGCCAGGAGCGACTGCTGCGCCCGCAGCTTGGTCCTCTTCGGCATCTTGTCTGGGCATTTGGTTACGCTCAGGGTCTCTTTTTCTGCCACCATCTTCCTAGAAAATGTCTCGTTCTCATAAAACGTGTAGTAAAAAAAATCAAGTGGGTTTTACGGATGCGAGGATGAGGTCGGGGGGAAATGTAAAAAGGCGCGCTAATGGTAGAAATTCAACCCTTCCCAGTGCCCAGGTTGGTTGAGATGTTGGCAGCTCCCAGGTGAAGGGAGTTGGAGGGGAAGGGAGGGGCGGGAAGAGCGCAGGACCTCGGCCGGTGCTGCAACGAGCTTCCAAAGCTTAGCCTCCCGTTGCTACGCGACGCGTCAACACTGCGGCGAGTGGCTCCACCCCCCCAGTGACGTACGTACGTTTCCTGGGACTTCCCCCGGAAGTGCGGCCGACCGCAGGCAGCGGGCGGCGTGAGGAGAAACCGCGCGAAAACTACGACTCCCAGAAGGCCGCGGGCCGCTCGCGGTCTGCGCGTGCGTACTGGGAGCCGGGCTCCGGGGCGGGCAGTGCGGGCGGACCCAGCCCCGGAGCGCCCCGCCTGAGGGAGGCGGCGCGGGCGGCGCGCAGCGCGCAGAGCCCCCCTCGCCCAGCAGTGCGCACCTGCCCGGGACCATGATCGGTACGTGGTGCCCGCCAGGCACAGCCTCTCTGCGCCGCCCTGCGCCGGCCGTGGCGCCGCGCCGGTCCCGGAGGAGGACGGGGTCCCGGGTCCGGGGTGCCCCCTCCCGCCCTCAGGGGCCAACTGTCAGCGGTGTCCGCGCCCCGGAGCCGCGCCGCCGGCCGCCCCGGTGCCCGCGGGGTGCGGGGTGGCGGGCGCCGCTGTCAGCCCCCCAGCCCCGGCGTGACAGGCGCGCCGCCCGTGAGGACTCGGGACAGCCCGGCGCGCCGGGCAGCCCGCCCCCCGGACCCGGCCCGTGGCCCCAGGGCGCCGCCGCCCGCAGGCCCGGGGTGGGGGGCGCAGGCCCCGGGGCGCGGTGGGCTCCCCCCGGCTCGGCGCGCTGACCCGGTCCGTCCGCCGCCGCCGCCGGGGCCTCGCCGGGCGTGACACGGAGGTGACAGGCGTCCCGCTTTGGGCGGGACAGTCCCGATTGTTAGCCACGTGTCCCGCCCAATCGTTCCCCTTGCACTGGATTTCGCTGAGCTAAGTAAGTGTAGGGAGTAATTTTCACCGAGAGGGACAGAGAGTTAGAGGCATCCGTCAGCCGCCTCCTGCACCCTACCCCCTGAAGTCAGAGGCAGTGTGAGTTTAGTTCACCGTGGCCCGGTGCAAGGTTAACTGGAAAAGAATCACATTGTAGATAAAGACAGGGACTTCAGATCTAAAAGTCATCTCTCAATTCCAAATTAAGTATCTAATGAACGATTACATACGTAACTATTAGGATGAAATTTGTGTAGGCAGTTTTGTTTAGTTTTCTGTTTTTTGTGTGTGTGTGTTTTTTATTTTGGGACTTTTTTAAAACGCCGAGGGACGAGGGACAAATTGTTGTTTTTTTAAATCGAGACTGTTTTAAAACCCCGCGGGACACATGGTTGGAAATCGGGACTGTCCCGCCAAAAGCGGGATGCCTGGTCACCTTACTTTACACCCCAGGAGGAAGCCTCCTGCAGGGGGACTCACACTTCTGGCCCCTGGAGTCCTCCCGCTGAGCCCCTCCCGGGGCGGACCGTCGCGTGGAGGAGGAACTCAGAGTCACAGCCAGGATGGGAGCTGTGAGCACAGGAATGGCCCGAGGCCTTCATCTTCATGGGGGGCAGGCGGGGAGAGAACAGGCGCTAACCCATGGACCGTACAGTGAGGAGAGCAGGGCCAGGGCTGCTAGCTTGTTGTCAGCGCTGCCATGTCAGCTGCAGTGTTACCCAGTGCAGGGGTGTGAGCCAGACGTGATGTTGGGGGGAATCTAAGGAAATTAGTGGAAATGCACCGCATGACTACAACACACACTTCCCGGTGCCTGCCAGGAATTATTAGGGCAGTTTATTATGACAGAGCCTTGCTCTAGATACTGTGTTTCCCAAACTTCTGACATATGTGCACCCCTTCTATAATTTTCGTAATGCTGAGTACCCCTCGTACTCGTGAGAACGTAGAATTAGGCGCAGCTAAGCACGGTGCCGTGCCTATCCCCACCAAACTCCGGTGCAACGCGTACCCCCACCAAACTCTTCCCGTACCCCTGGGGGTACACGTACCACACTGTGGGAGTCTAGAACATAATAACCAGTTTGGTGAGCTTATTTGGGGATTATTTCCAAGAAGCACCATTTGTGAAACACTTTTAAAAATATATACTTTATTGATATTTTTACAGAGAGGGATAGAGAGTTAGAAACAATGATCAGCTGCCTCCTGTACACCTTCCACTGGGGATGTGCCCACAGCCAAGGTACATGCCCTTAACCAGAATCGAACCCGGGACCCTTGTGTCCGCAGGCCAGTGCTCCATCCACTGAGCCACACCAGTTAGGGCTGTGAAGCACTTTTGATTTCCACTAATGCATCTGAAGTCAGAGGTAGTGTGATTTTAGTTCAGCATAATCCAGTGCAAGGTTCATTTAAAAAGAAACAAATTTATGATAAACCTATAGATAAAGACACGGACTTAAGTTCTAAAAATCATCTCTTAATTCTGAATTAAGTATCTAATAAGTGATTACATAAATAACTATTAGGATGAAATTTGTTTAAGTGGTTTTGTTTAGTTTTCTGTTTTGTTTTTTTATTTAGAGACACAAGAAGAAAGTATGACCTTGGGATTTGATGATTAGACAGTTATTTGTAACTGGTAATGACATGAATGATTTAAAGTGGATTTTTAAAAGTTTATTTTCATACCCTGGCCAGTTTGCTCAGTGGTTGGTGCATTGGCCTGAGGACTGAAGGGTTGCAAGTTCCATTGCGGTTGGAAGCATGTACCTAGGTTACAGGCTCCAGCCTGTAGGGACGCTCGCAGGAGGCAACCAGCCTCTCTCACATTGATGTTTCTCTCTCTCTGTCTCCCCCCACCTTCCTCTCTCTTTAAAAGTCAATGAGAAAAATATCCTCAAGGATGAGGATTAACAACAAAAAATGTTTTTGTCATATTCCAATTCTTAATGGTGTGAATTACAACATAAGTAATAAAATGCATTCCCATCCTAAGAAAAGTACCTTTCCTATAACAAGCCAGACGACAATGTGCAATAAATTATTTATATAACTAGTTGCGTGGCTTATGACTGTCGGCAGGCACATTCTAACAAAATTCCCCGTTGCCCGGGGGCCTGTTGTGTTGAAGGGTGGTGGAGGTGCCTGGGAATGGGAGCGGGAAAGGGAGGCATGGGGGGAGGGATTCCAGGCGCTGTGACAGCTTGGGAGCCGGACAGGCATTTCAGTTTACATGCAGCGATGAGCTGGAGCCACATGCACATGGCTACACACCTGGGGGTCGCCTTTCTGATTAAACACCGGGGCTACTCAGAAGTTGCCCATTTCGTGTCTGTGTTCTCTGCCATTGCTACACCTCCTTCCATGCAAATAGCACCCTTCCACTTTCTTTGTGTCTTAGCTCACTTTTGAGGAAAAAAAGGAAAGTGGGTTGCTTGGTAGAACAGGAGTAAGGTATTACCTCTCAACTAATACTGTTCTCTTGGCATCGAGACTGTTTCAAAGCACGTACATGTCTCACTTGAATAATGACTGATGTGTTAAATGCCCTGACCTAGACAGCTACAGAAACACAATTTAATGGAAGTCAGAAAAAATGATGACTGTGAGAAGTATGGAGAAGGACTGCAAGGTAATATAAGCAGAATGGGAAAACCTTAAGAAAATTCAAGTTGGAAAAATGTCATTTGGGCGTCTCTATATTTTTTATTTGACCCCCTTTACCCTTCCTTCACCTACCCTCCGTTCCCCCTGGTAGCCACCATACTATTGTCTGTGTCTATGAGGTTTGTTTGTTTTCCTTGTTTGTTCATTTGCTGTTTTCAGTTTTATAGCCCACCTATGAGTGACATCAGATGGCTCTTGTCTTTTCCCCTGTAATTTATTTCCCTTAGCGTGATATTCTGATGCTCCATCCATGTTGTTGTAAGTGGCGGTATTTCATTTTTTCTGATGGCTAGGTAGTATTTCATTGTGTTTTGGGTCATATAATATCTTCTCTATCCAATCACCTATTGAGGCACACTTTGGTTTTCACGTCTTGGTCGCCTTGAATAATGCTGCAGTGAAGTGAACATAGGAATGCCTATATCTTTGCAAGTTAGTGTTTTCAAACATGTCTGGGGGATACTCAGGGATTCTGGGTGATGTGGTAACTCTATTCTTAGTTTTTTAGGAACCTCCATACTGGTTTCCATGGTGGCTGCACCAGTTTACATTCTCATCCACAGTGAATGAGAATTCCCTCTTCTCCACAACCTCTCCAGAACTTGTAATTGAATTGTTGATAATAGGTGCGAGGGGTATCTCATTTTGGTTTTGATTTGCATTTCCCTAATAGCTGGTGATGCCGAGCATCTTTGCAGATCTCTGTTGGCCTTTGTATGTCTTCTTGGGAGACGTGGCTGTTTAGGTCCTCTGCCCATTTTTTAAACTGGATTTTAAATTTTTGTTGTTAAGTTATATGAGTTCTTTATATATTAACTCCTTATTGGAGGTGGGTGGTGTGTGAAAATATCTTCTCCCATTTAGTTGGTTGGCCTCTATTAAAAATATATCTACTCCTTTTTAAAAAAAATAGCAATTCTTTGTATTTCGTTGTTTTTATTTATTTACTTATTTATTTGGTCTTCTAAGAAAATGTGTTGAACAGTTTTACAGTGATATCTGTGGTATGGTGTCAGATATTTCAGCCCTGGCCAGTTTGGCTCAAATATTATAGTTGCAGCATCCTCTCATATACCAAAAGGTGACGGTCTGATTCCTAGTCAGGGCTCTAGGGGAGGCATCCTATCGATGTTTCTCTCTCTTTCATCAATAAAAAAAAAAAAAAATACAAAACCATTATTTAAGAAAATAAATTAATAAAATAAAGTGCATGCATATGTGTACAACTATTGAACTTCAAATTCAATGTCTTATTCTATAAAAATATTTTGATTTAAAATAACACAATAACTACAACAGCGTCTCCTCTGTACCTTGTTTAACTAACCCTCTCATAGAAGACTTCCATGTCTGCTTGTAGGGATCTACCCCTGATAATTCCCGCCTAGGCTTTCATTTTATGGATGTACATAAATTATGCAAATACTCTCCAGTAAATGAGCCTTCAGTAAGTTTACAGACAATTGTTATCATCAGGAATGTTTGTGTCTATATCATTTTATTTGCATATGTTAGCATATATGTAAAGTAAGAACCTTATTACAGTGTCTGGGTAGGTTTTCTACATGAAGCCTTTGTAAGATTTTGAACTCTGCAAAGTATTTCCGGTTGTCCTAAAGCAGATCACTCTCTTCTGCTGCCTGTTTACTACCCAAGGTAGAAGGACCTGCCCTGCCCCTCTGGGCGGGAAGATTACAGAAAGGCACCCCCAGCGCCTGCCAGGTCTCCGCTCCCCTTTACACCCGCTCCCCACCCCCGGTCCGCGCCTTCCAGCAGCGCCCAGCTGCACAGCTGTCCGCGGAGGC